ATACCCCCAAATTTGCCTGGACACTGCCTTTAAGACACGTTCCAGTGCCTTCTAACACTGACGGGATTCTATCATTTTTGGCAACCATTTAGGCATTGTCTACAAGTAGATGCACGTAGATGTGCAAGCCGTCACTACAAATCTAACACACGTGACCATCGCACCATTGCCTGAAACAGAGAAAAGAATAGCTAACAAAAGTCGCCATATTGTTAACTAAGCTGTATTCGAAACAAGGCAGAACTGAGGAACAACACAAATATTTGTGCTAATGATAGTCAAGTTTTATGTTCCAGCAATGCGCAGTGGCGCTCGCAACGCTCCGATAGTTAAGAAATCGTAAAATGCGGCGCATGATGTGCGCTTGCGCATCGAGGAACATATTACCTGCCTTGCTAAATTCCACCTAATACAGCTGACAGCCAAAGCTAAAGCAGCAGCCAAAGCTAAAGCATACCACAAAACACAAGTGACACATCCAAAGCAATAGCAAACTCAAGTATACGAATACAAAAGCAAAGATCTACTTAGATAGCAATACAATAAAGCCATTAGAAAATGAATTACCAAAATCATGGTACAGCAAATTCTTCGTCCCAGTCCAGCTCGTGCAGCATGCGTCCAGAAGGCAGAGTCGAGTTGCTTGAAGAACCACTAGCTCTAGCATCTCTAACCGGAATATCTGAAATTGTAGTTGATGTTAATGATGCTAATCACGAATCCAATCATTCCACATAATAGGGTCTCTTTATTATCACTTGCGTTATATGGTAGATCAAAACTAAGGGATTCTGCGTTCAAAGCGACGTCCTAGTTCGCTGCTAAATTACTCTGGAAATTCGGATCCGAAGGGAAACTGAAAATCTACAACGGCGGTTTTTCAACAAGGATAATAATTCCGGCTATGGATCAAACGATCGATACCAACTCTTCAATAACACAAAACACATGAGCAAACCCCCTCGCCCTCCCCAAACTCTTCTCTAATGCTGTTATATATACTTCAAAGCGCTTACTTTCCAGATTATAACCGCTACCCGGCTGTTCACGTTCTCTCTTTTTGATCTCCAGCCACTGATTGAATGTGAGGTTTTGATCTAGAACTTCATACCAGTGAAATGAACAAGAGTTCAAATCAATAAGATCATACCTCCGTACTTTCCCCTTGTCACATCGGCAAGGTAAAAGCAATAACGGTAGCGATCATCCTCTACCTCGATTTTGATGTTCTGCGACAGAGCAGTACTATATGAGGAGAAGCTTGTGTCCATGTCGTGAACGTTGACGTCGCCGCCCTTGAAGCACGTGATCAAATTTAATAAAATCATTATACTGAGTTGTTTTAGAACTTCTACCCGTTCTCTTTTCCTCTATTAAACTGGGATGTTCTTAAAGGCACCGTCCACCCAAATCACGTTTGATGAGATTT